GTTATGAGTCCTCCTGATATGATATTGTTGTCATTTATATACGTATAAAAATATCGATCAAGATCGAAATTAAATAAGCCCAAAAATGAAATGCAGTACATGCAAACAAATAATATGAAAATATGAATTTCATGAGAAGCAATCATGGATATGATTAATTTATATTATTAGTTATTATATAAATTTAACGCATACAAGATTTATTATTCATAAAGTTATAATTTTACAAATAGTTTTATTTATGTTAAATAATGCATATATATATATAATATACGTAATCTATAAGATAAGATAATAACGAAATAAGTAATTTAAATAATCAGTTTTATATTTATGTATACATATTTTAAAAAAAATTTATAAACTTTTAAAAAATATCTAATAATGAATTTTAGAAAATAATTATTTAAAATTATCATCAATTAATGATATCAAAAAGACATCATTAATGTAAATTTTTTTAATAATTGTTAAAATAAAACATCAATTTAATCAGTTTAATTAATTCAGTTAAATTGGACATTCAGAATAATGGTAGATAAACTTTTAAAATCTTATATTTCAAAAGAGATTCATAAAATACATCGTTTTCTATATTTATTTGAAAAGAATGCGCTTTACACCACTTTTTCACTGAATCATTTTAAATAGAAGAAATGTTTACAACTTGTTTTATTAACCAACGAGGTTTTGTTTTCTTGAAAGGAAAAATTTCATATAACAAACTCAATCGCATATCTTCTTTTACGAAATTTAAATTAAACGATGAAAATAACTTTTTTTTTTTTAAGATCATGTAATTACACAATGAAAAATGATCCACGCAAGTTAATAACAACACCAGCATCACCGAAAAGACACATTATTTTTCAAAAAATAGCCACGCTTGTCAACTCTATTAAGGCTTGTAATTATAATTTCTTTTTTCGCATATTTGATCAAAGTTTTAAATCCTTCTCAGGGTAAATATAACAACTTGTTAGTTGTTGAATGGAAATTAGTGACGTAAAACCTTTCCAGAAAAATCTACGTTTCGTAAATGTTATACAAACGAAACGATGAATAAAAGACGAACAATAATGAAAGTAGAATAAAAACATAACATGTTTTTTCAAGAATGCAAATCTATTTGAGAATAAAACTCTTGAGAATTACTTTCGACAAGTATTTAATGTCATTAATGAAAACTGCATTGAAAATGAAAGTCATTGTTGTTCATAGTCAATGAAGTATTCATTTTGCTTGAAAAATATTATCAAGAGCAATTGAGTAGAGAATTTTATTCTTAAATCTAATTAGCACGTTGAAAAAGGGATAAATAAAATCACGATTCCACCAATGATGATGATGATGATGATGATGATGATGAAGAAGAATTGTAGAAGAAAATAAGCGAGCATGAGGAGAATCGAAATTCGAAAAGCCTGGTTACTACTCACCCTCGATTCTTCTACCAAATAGCGAATGAATTGCTCGATAAACGTGAACCACCCACCACTCTTGTTGTAGCCGATCCGTGAAAATGTATCCAATGTGAAAGTATCGGTGTGCTATTGCAGCGAATGTGAACCCAGCGAGAACAGGGGTAAAAAGAAGAACGACGGAAGAAACACTTCGTGATTCACTTAGTAGATGTTGAATGAGACCTTGAAAGAATTCCGAATGATCAAGCAGGATCCTTTTCCCGAATTCGCCTTTTTCTTACTACACTGTTTCGACATGAAACACGAATAAAATATGTCCTCTGTATTATATTGTTACAATGATAACAAAACTGCTTGTAATGTTTCTATTAATGTTTGTTGCAAACGCAAAAAAGAATGGAAAATAAAATGTTACTCGAACCGACCTCGATGACTTTTAATATTCCTGAGTAGTTAGTTAATTACAATAAAAATAATTTAACATTGGACAAATAATAAAAAATTGAATAGATTGTTGATTAACTTTGTTTCAAAAAATATCTAATTAAAATTAATGTTAGCCAACAACAGGAAAAGAAATTCTAATTCGCATAAGTGCGCGTGAGAAAATCACATTAAAATTTTAAATTGGAATTTTAAAAGTCATTTAAATATAAAATTCTATTTGATAGAAAAGAGATTAATAAGAAGAATATTAATAAGAAGAAATATTAATAAATTTAATAATTTTTTAAATTTCTTTTTTACATCAATAAGTTAAAATTTACAAATTTTAAATTACTATGTTATTTGTTGATAATTTTGAATGATAATATCAAAATAGGTTAGATAAAATTCTATAAAAAATAAGTTATCAAGTTATCAAGTTTGAATAACATTCGAGGTGAATAATGAAGAAATTTTCCAAAAAAAACTTGTTAGAACGCTTCAGGGAGAACGCAATAGAGTTTGCTATGAATTAATATGTTCCAACGATTTAGGAAATTCATCAATACCGAAAAAAGTATCCAGAAGACCTCGAAGCATACCAGAAGATACAGATTGATGCCTGGATATCTGCGTTCTTCTGTTGACAATTGTTCTTTTCACTGTTTCTATTTAAATATGTTCCTCTTCCTTATTTTTGGTATTTTCACACACATACACACAAAAAAAAAAAAAGAAAAAAAAAAAACTAAACGAAGAAATATACAATTTAAGGAAATAAAAAAGAAAAAACAAGAAAAAGAAAAAACTGAGTATGAGGGAAAAACAATAATCGTTGCGAAAGTAATAATCAACTATTAGTTTTGTCTTTTATTTGTAATATGAAATTTTCTTTTAAAGAACACATAAAAATTTATTATATCTTTGTTCTTTTATCTTTTTTATCTTTATCTTTATCTTTGCGTGATCAAACATCCGTACGACAAATCCTCGTCATCATCGCTCTTCTATTACTACACTTCACGTTTCACGACGACGAGCACGAAAGAAGATACGACAACGCACTGACATGCACGCTGTTCTTGCCGATACCGCGCTCTTTTGTGAACACGCGCGACTTTACTTACGGAGAAAAGGAAATCGGCTAGCGTCAAAATGAAACGAATTGAAGGAGACGCGCATGGACAAATGACCGAACGATAGAAGAAAAAGTGAACGAAAAAAAAAAAAAAAAAAAAAAAAA